CAGTTTAGAGGGGCAGATTTCTCGAACCCCCCTGTCACCCAAAGATGGCTAAAGACAATAAGCAGAAGAGAGGAGGGGAAGGGCGAGGGAGGAGGGAAGGAGGGAAAGGCAACAAACAAATGAAAGGATTAAGAGGCCCAATTTTGCCAGAAATTACAAACTCTGGGATGGTGTCCCTCCTGAACCCTCAGTATAAGCTTTGTGATTCCCCGAATCCTACAAGTTCCGGAAAATTCGCAGAAACTTACGTGCGGATTTAATTTTACCGTGATAAACTGTAAAAAAAAAATTGCAATACAGGGAAAAAATATGATCATGATAGACCACTCAAATTTGCTATCACCGTATTATCATCAAGGGAACCCGAAATGACTCAGATATAATATCCTCAGATAGCCGAGGATATTACACCTCCGAGGTATCCCCGGATAACTGAACTTACGGCCGCAAAATGTCACTTCACTGCTCCGACCTCCTCGTTATCTTCGCTCGGTACGACTAATTTTGGCTGGGCTTCTATCGCTCTTCTATCGCTTCTATCGCTCTTCCCTTTTATCCTATTTCCTTTGCCTCATCAGGTTATTTGAGAGTCGTCCCGCAGCTAGGGGGGCCTGAAGTTGCATCACCCACGGGTTTAAAGGACGTGGATTTCACTTCCTTCACCTTCTCTTCTGGAAAGACGAATACGGGGTGCACCAAAAATCTCCGGCCTTTCTATAATCCTTTAGATCATTTAGCTGTGGTCCTCCTGTGCTTCACCAGCACCGTCCTGGCCTGGAACAATTTTCGAGAAAGGGCTCCGTTCGCAACAGCTGCGCACTACAACTTATCAGTAGAAATATCAGGGGCCGATGATTTCGAGTGCAGATTACCTTAGGACCACAATGGCATTTACCTTTCAGCACACGTTATTGTAATAACTGAAACAATTCCACAAATTATACATAGTTGGCAGCATGCCAAAAGTCTAGAGAAAACAACTCGACGTCACATTAAGAGTTGTGCAAGAAACGTGTAAATGAGTTGTATGCAGTTTCGATATCGAAGATAATTTGCCGAGCATCTTCGTCCGTGATTTCTTCGCTTGCACCCATACCTTTCAATTTATCATGCCTAAAATTAATAAAAACTGTAAAAAATCTATAAAATGAATTCAAAAAAGATCGATTAGAAGCGTAAAATCAGTAAGGGGATTGAATTCGGAAATGCTCTGAAAGAATAATTCTTTATGCAGTTTGTGTTTCATCCCTTAGCTGTAAACACGGACAGAGTGGTCAGTGCGAGTAGAAGCGAGAAAATATTGTATCTATTTATACTAGAAGTACCATGACCGTCCGGACAATCGATACGAAAATCCCATACTTCCTCATATTTGAGGTCCTTCGATTCTGTTTGCACATACTTAAAGCCCTTCAAATTCGATATTTCCGGCTACAGTCCACAACGTTTTCGTCTAAATGCGCCATCTGTTCAGGAACTGAATGGTATATGCTCTTTTTATCGAAAAAAAAAGCCAAAAAGGAATAAACATTCGACAAACCTTTTTATTGCAAATGTAGCAAAAAACAAACGTTTCTAGAAAAAAAAAAAACCAAAAAGAAACAAACGTTTGATAAACTTTTTTTTGCAAACAGGGCAAAAAAAACAAACGTTTTTACCCCCATCCCCCCCCAAAAAAAAAAAAAAGAAAACCCCAGTACTTGATAACAACGTTTGAAAAGCATGCAGCTCTTAACGAGCCAAAAATTTTTGACAGAATCTCGAAATTTTTCCTCTAATCGTTATTTACTGCCTCCATTGAGAAGTAAGGATTAATGAGCCGTAAAAAAGGATTAAAGCAAAAAAAGATTTATTCAGATTTGCGGCCAATACGCGTAAAAGTCAAAAAATCCATCCATACCATTGTTTAACTTTGAGTTTTGAGTCAAAATTATCCGGCAGTGTACTCATCGCACAGATCGACACATTCAGCTCGTTCAGCGTCGGGAAGAGCTCATCCACAGCGCGAACGTTCAGTTTCAGCTGATCCAGGAACGTGATGAACATTTCGACGATTTCTGCAATACACTTCAACGTGTTCCCCTTATCGTCCTTCACCGTTATCGGGCGATCCTCACGAATCCTTTCCAGTGCTGCCGGACATTCCACTCGATATTTTTTCACAAATTCATCGATATCACATTGCACCAGACGAAGAGCAACCTGAAACAACGAATTTTTGGGGATTTTGAAAAAATTTTTTGAAAATTTTGAAAAAAAAAATCACGATTTTTGGGAATTCTGAATCCCCATTAGCAATAGATAAACCAAGAAAGAGGAAGCCATCAACAGCCCTGCTAGCCGTTGAGTTGCTGCTGGAATTTGCTACCAAAGTAAGTTACTTTTCGGTAATTCTGCCTCTCAGCGAAAGTAAATAAAGGGTAAAATGCGAATAAGGAAACCAAAAACCAGCTCTCTGCATATTCTGCGTTTTTTAATCTAATTGGAAAAAAAACAATTTGTTTTTTTTTTTTTTAAATAATTCTAAAATAATCCTATTATTTTACAAATTTTGTAATTCTCATCTCCTACCTTTCTTTTTTGATTCTTCTTACTTCATCCACTATTAATATACCTTTCTATTAGGGTAGTAAGTTGGTTAGCCGAAGGACTAAAAACTATTTGGAATATAAGGTAATAAGTTAGTACCACAATGAAACGGACCAGGTTTTTGATAAGCACCTACAACTGTATGTCGTTGTCGAGGGATAAATTCACTAACCAATTTCTCTTACAAACAGATTATAGCAACCCGGCTTATCCTGGAGGCCTAAATGACGAAGACGCAATAGATTACAACACGAGAGGAGGAGATATGAGTGAGATAAGACATTTCGGTCCATTTAGTCATATAGGCCTTAACTCAACACCAAGTGACGGGACTTCGTCAGTATGACGGTGGCAGTGCTTAATGGAAAAGGAAAAAAGTCCGACAGAAAGAAGCAGAAGGAACGACGATCCGATACTGGGATCTGATAGTATAAATCAAAATAGACGAAGCCAGCAGTGGCAATGTATTATTGTTACACTTATATGTGAGTGTCGGAAAGAGTAGCATTACTGCTGGCAAAGTGCAATGACATAATAAATGATGTAAAATGGGGGTTGGAAGAAAGTATATGGCAAGGGCGTGTCTTATGTCTAGAGATGTAGCGTAGTTGAGCGAACGCCCTAAAAGAAAAGAGAGGAATAGCATAGTCGTCATATATATGTACATTTAAAATTCTGAAAAAGAGCCAAATTTTGCAGTCTTATTTAAGTTAACCGGTATTTGCATTGAGTGACGTCTGTGTTTCATCCCCGAACTGCAGTGCAGCGTTCTGCGCACCCTTATATATAGACTACCCGTGTTTGATCTAGAGGTTACATGAAACATATCTGGTCCATCATAATGCGATTAAGAAAAAATCTGTAAAAATGAGCAATAAAAAAACATAGTTCATGCAAAATTACCTTGTATTGTACAAGAAGTTTTGAGCATTCCGCGGTGTACTCTTTGGGTGCAATGCAGTCACGACTGAAC